AGTGTTCGTCAAAAGCGTTCTTCTGTATCATATGTTGATCATGCAAGCCATGTGCGCCGTCTAGCACTGAACGGATTATCCCGGTCAAAACATCATTTGCAACCAGACGCCATTGGATAATGGATAAAAAAAGAACGACTGAGGAGTGTGAAACGGTAAAGGGTGACTAAGCATGTAGCTGATTAAATGTTCCAAATAAGCTGGTAATTTGAGGCAAATTGTTTTCTGTTGCAACGTCTGTACACGCCTAGTGATAATCATGAATCACATTAAGTTGTGACGGTCGAAATTGGAAGTATTGTTCGAACATCTTGTTCTCGGGACATCACAAAAAGACCATTGATACTTTTCCATTAACCTGAAAATGTGAATACACGAGATTATGGCGGTTCTACCCACTCCCTATTTCAGCAGTGTTCGGATTGGTACAGGTGAGGTATAGATATAGACGCATGGATGGACCAATTGCAACATTTTTTGATCATCCGTTCATGGATTCTCATAGACAATTTGCTCTGAAACCCTATTTCATTTTAATTGTCATTGAAATCCAAAGTGGTGCCTAATGCTCATCTAATCAAAAGCGCTGATGCTGTGATCAAAAAGACAAGTTGGTACTGCAGGCATCTGGAGTATTTTTTTTCCAAAATTGAACGGGAAAAGCATTGTTGTTGTAGCGCTTGGCAATCGCTTCAGCAATATTTTATCGTGAGCACTTGTATCTCACTGGACCCTTTTGGTTCATGGTGTTTTGTTTGCTTTGCCTTACAGGTTTATCTTTAACCCTGACCCACAGAGGACACGCCTACCAGTGTTTCCTCACTACCCCGTATCCCAGTCGCCTCGCCGTCGTCCGTCACCCGCTATGCTCTGTATCCTCTCCATCTGTGAGAACACGAGTCGAGGGACAACCTGTCACGCATCACTGTCTACTCTGTTGCGCTGAGAAAGAGCTCGCAGTACGTTCGAATTACATTACAACCCTTCAGCAACAACCGGAATTCGAATACATCTGCAGATTTCTTTCGTCGGTTGCGCTATCTTTCCCTCCCTTTTGTAGACTGTTATGAGTAACTGCGTCTGATTAGATTATCCCTATGGAAATAACCCTGTTTTATTTCATTTTTATTATGTCATGCTCGTAAAATTATGCCGTTCGTGCTATTGCGGTATTTCCGTCCGAAATTATTAGCACACTGAAGACAGACGGATTGCGTTTAGCAAGTGTCATTTACACAAAGAGCAACTGATCAACTCAACAACTTTGCGAGTGCTTAAATACTACTATTTATAAGTACCTCAGGCCCAGATTTACAATCAATTACAGAATGTTACTTTTAGGTCAACAAAACACCGTATTACTTCATTCAAGGGAAGGAAACCATAATAACTAGTTGAGTCAGTAAATTGTTAAAGATTTCATCGTGTTATTTTTACTTCTTTTTATCGACCTGTCAGTTACAAAGATCGATTAAATAGAACTATTTTGGTACACAGAACTTAACCATTCTAACATCCCAGTAAGTTTGCAAAATGGAGGATTGGAAACGCTGAGCAACAGCCATCATAATCTCACTCCGCGGGATGGTCCTTGAACCAATCTTCGTAGTTCGAGTGCTCCAAGTCTCACGGAACAAAATCGAGATGACCTTACTTGGAATAATTTTGCTGATACTTGTTTCACAGACCGACCGGCGTGAATAGTAAACGCATCACGTGACCCTAGTCTTCCCATTTACACACAGCATCCCATTAGTTTGTAGGGTCACGAGATTTTCTACACACACCAAGAATAAGGCAGTTGAAAGACTGCTTTTTCAGTTCACAACCACGCGCGTACTGTAAGCTTGAATTCGGTTGCCCATGAAGTACAAAATCGCAACCTACATGATTGTCTTTACGTGGCAATTGTGTGGTCGAAAAGTGAAAAGCTTGTTTATTAATTAAATTTATTGGATGTGGTTAAACACCGGGTGATGCGATCGTTTCGATTCGATTTTTGTCACAATAAATGAAACGGAAATGTGTCCTCGACATATGAAATGATCAATAATTACAATAGGCTCAAGGAATATAAGGATATATGGTAAAATCCATATTCATGATACCAAGGTAGTGACATCTCAACTATCGCAGAATCCACGCTCCGAGGTCCCCGCAATCGGTATCAACCTGCAAAGTAGCGACCGTCTTAATTTTATTATTTACGTATATTTCTTGAATGCATTTTGAAATCCGTCCCATACTCATATTAGCGCTTCTCATTCTCTCAAACATAATTCATTTGCTTTTATACACCACCTATACTCTCAAACTTGCTTCATTTCAACAGCGCATGAAATCGAATAGGAGCCCTCATCAGAGAAGTGAATGATAAAGATCGTGGATGACGAAGCTGTACGGTACTGATGGTGATGACGTCAATAACATCGAGGTGAATGTCTGGCTTAACCAAGAAGAGAATTCTAACGTTTATGAAGGTATCCATTCATCAAACGTCTCGTCAAATGGTACAGTAACCTTCGATCTGCGTCGTATCTTCTATGTCCGCCAAAGAATCAGCGTTCGAACGAAGAACATAGATATGGGGAACTACTGGCGCTGATCGTATTACAGTGCGTGTGCGTTCGCCGATGAAATACACGCTAAATTTTATTTTCACTTAACTGTCTCAATTATCATTTTTAATTTTTAGGTAAAAATCTTTGAAACAATAAATGTGGATAAATATCTACATACCGCGAAATCCCCCGCCATAGCACTAGTTCCTGAAAATGAAGCTAGATGAGCAAAATAAACCGAGATACTGCGAGGAACAAGTGTATATCGGAATGGATAAGGTGAAGACTGAAAAGAATAAAGTTGAAGTTGGTGTATGAAGGAACGGTGTAGATGCCTCAGCGCCACTCAGCCATTTCGTATCTAACCATCGTTTAAACAGATTGTAAGTGAGGATGAGTCCATAAAAGGAAACAGTGATAGCCACTTCGTTGTTTTAAACAGCTCACTCTTCTCCCCCGGCAGGTATATATCGGATTAAATGCGAAAGGCTAATCGTCAAGCGTTGTGAGAGTAGGCATTGTTTGTCTTCTACAAGCTTACCTATCAAACATGATTAACCCTGCTAGGAAGAAGCAGCATTTTGTAGAGTACTGAGTCATGGAGGGACGCACATCAATCATCCTCATAAAGTTGCTATCTCAATGTGATGGCACTTCAATGAGATCGTGACCACGGAGCTCACATTAGGTAGAAATGGCCATCATGCAAATAATGGTATGAAAGATGTTTCAAAAGCGGGAGGCAATCAAACAGGCCCTGGCGGAAACAACTTCAATATGCTATTTTCCGAAAGCTACATGATACACAGTCAACAGCAGTTACGAATCAATAACTCAGGAAAGTCCGAGTGTGAGAAGACGATACGACTTTTAACGGTGNNNNTGCAATAAATTTCGTTGCGGAAAACGGAACACCCTACAAAAATTACAGAACGAAATTTCGGAATACGGGTTGAAATTTATGAAACAGACAGGCAAAATTTTAATATGACTGACAACTACAGATTCAAAACTGTAATTGCCAGTGGGTGGATAGACTATCGGATACCTGGAATCACAGAAAGGTCGGTTTTATTATCCGCAATGACTCATCACTGCGTGCCCAGAGAAGCAATAATGTTGACAAACTGTCAACTGGTATAATCTAAATATGCCCAGATTTTACAAACCATGCAAGTTACTGAATAAAAGCTCGAAGACGAGGGTGACAAACTAGATGTTGCAAATGGACATTCAAATCCTCACGAAGGATTTGACGTGCCTTTGTCAAACTATGGTCTCCCTCCATATTCTCCCCAACCCTAATGGACTAGGTCACAAATTCACATCGAACCGAATGATAAAGTTGCACGGGGGAAAAGAACAACACCACCATGAACTCCTCGTCTATGGACAGGCGAGCAATAGTGAAATAGGTCGAAAATCGGATTATCAAGGGTAGCGAGCAGACCGAATGGAACAGTTCAGAGTTGGAATATAAGATGACAAACGGACGGAGACTGAAGAGACAAATAATCATACGGCTGTGCAATGATGAGAGGATTGTGTTCACAACAGATGTCGGAGTCGTAATAGCAGTGATTAGCTTGACAGCAAAAAAGGAGCGCTAACGCGTGATGGCGATGGTGAGCAGTCGACTGTGGGAGCGGAATCAAAACACAAGGGGACAGACAACATAAAAATAACTAACTCAATAATAACCATCATTATCCCCTGACTATATTCGACGCAGAGGGATGGGGCATTGTTTGAAATGCCAATTTGCGCGAAGCGAAATTCAGCTTGAAACATTGTGGACTGTAAAAGGTGCGACTTTAGTTTGTACAGTACAAACTAGATTGGATGAAAGTGGGTAAATTGAGAATGGTTGAAGGCAAGAAGTGGGGGGAAAGAGTGAAAAAGTAAGACAAAAGGAGACAGAAAAAGGATCAGACGGGAGAAAATCTGGTTTGAGATGCACTTATGCGCTGCAATGCGCAGAAAAAAAATAAATGAGCAGTTAATACTTAGTATAAAACGATTAAAGGTAGCTGAAGTATGGGTTTCCAAAGTATCGATGAAAGTTCAGAAGAATGACGGAAAGGTAAAAAATATCTTCATGGTAAAAATGTCTTAAAAATGGACGTATTTATTGAATATTCGGAAACGGAAAAAGAATATGTTGACGACTCGAGAACATCTGCGTAATGAGGTGCGTCAACTCCAAAACAAAAAAGTAAGAATAAAACAGGAGAATAAAATAATGCTTGACACGCTCGATCAAAAGCTTGCAGCACTGGAAAGACTGTTTATGTGCTTGCCATTTCGCCGAATAGTTTTTTTTCCTTTCAGTCTGCGAGGTTATCCTGTAGGGGTTGCTGGTGGACGGTTCCTCCCTGAGTAGTAGATTGTGCATGCGTGTGTGTGTACGGGAGGCCAGCGTGTGTTTGATTTGCCAATTCATGGACCTCGTCCTGGCCCGTGGGGATTAGGCCGCTTGCTCGGTGAATGTGGTGTGGTGGAATTCGGTGTCAGAGGTGCACTGGACGGCCCGGTAGATCGCCTAGTCAGAACAGCACGCAACAACATGCGCAGCTCTTGGGTGAGCGTTTCGTAACGATAAGCGATACGAATATTGGGTACGTTGCTGCGTGTAATATCATTTCCCATCACGCCTTCTTGCATATAATTGGGCCCAAGCCAGTAAGATTTGACCTGAATGGCATGAAAATAAGATGAAAACGAGGATTTACTATGTTGAAATAATGGAGAGAAATAAATTTTTGGAGACATTAGCTTTTAACGTGCTTTTCGGACTGGAGCTGTATATACAGGTGTAGCATCAATTCCAATTGGTGCGGCAAGTCCGAAGTACTTTTTAATTATTCCCAGAATGGCGTTGATTGATTAACAGTCGTCTGTCACCCCAAATTCTCCCGCTTTCCTTTTATTGCCATCACTAACTTATACATGGTACTCCAGTGTAGATTGTCAGAAATTGACACATTCTATGATAATTTCCTCCCGATTATTGTCCCATCTCTTGCTGACAGATTGCATCTAATAGCTGGGGACTTTAACCACACCTATGTACCCTTTATTTTTTCTAAACCTCAGTGACCTGATTATTGAACCAACTAGAGGAAACTCTCATCTAGACCACATAATCACAAACCACGCTGACACCTTTTCCACCAAACAGTTCTCCCCCTTAGGCACCATTGACCACAACCAGATCCTGGTCAAACCTAAGATTTACTCACACTCAGGACATTTTTCCTTTACTCGACCAAAACGCATAATGTTTCGTCAGCAAGATCTTTCCCCAGACAATATTGCATTGCTTAGATCGTCTCTTAAGGTAGTTACCGACTATTTTCCTTTAAACACAACCTGTTTGTTAAGTATGACATTTCTGACAGAGGTGTTGAACTGTGTTTTTGACATATGCTATCCTGTGATAACTTTGTTCCTTCAACATGGCAGAATATCAACACTTTTTCTTAAACGTCTTCGCCGTGAAAAGGAACGTGAATTTAAATGTAGCAGGAGAGCCGAAATGCAACAATTATCGTTCCTGATCAAGAGTGAAATAAAACGGTTGGACGCAAGTCAGCCATGACATCCCTTAAGGGAAGAATGTACATCGCCGCAGTTCGTAGCGTTTTGCTTTACGGTTGCGAGACCTGGCCCCTCAAAGCGGAGGATGCTAATCGACTTTCTGTATTTGACCACCGATGTCTCCGAAGCATTGCTCGCGTCTGGTGGGAACATCGGGTGAGCAATTACGAGGTCCGTCGTCGTGTGTTGGGTGCAGACAGTTGTTTTCTAACAGAACTAATCGCTCTACACCGCCTCCGAAGGCTTGGTCACGTATTGCGTATGCGTGTCCATCGACTACCTTTCCGTGCTCTCTTCGCACGTGCCGGGCAAGGCTGGAAGAAGCGACGCAGCGGTTAGACCCTGACATGGGTTACAGGGATGAAGAAGCTGGCTTCAGCTTTGGCTTCGGTTGGTGCAACCCGCATTCCAGACTGGGGCCCAAGGGATGAGGATTATCGTTGGTTAGAGACGCTGAGAGATATAGCCCAGAATAGAAGTCAGTGGCGCGAATGCCGTACAGTCTGCCTGTCGAAATCCCGCGCCCCGTAATAAACCACAAACAACAAAAAATTTGAAAAAGTGTACGGTGAAACACAAAATAAATCGTTATTCCACTTGTTCATAATCTTCTATTCTGACAGTTACGTCTTTTTCCCTATACTCTGTATCCCAACAGCCCCCCCCCCTCCCGCGTGATTATTTTGTTGTGGTGTTAGCATCAAGTTTGTTCTCAAGCCGATGTTATAT